AATCTGTAACTTTAATCTAAACTAGTCCAAGAATCATGGGAACTTAGAAACCTGTGACTTCATAATAACCCAGATGGGATTAAACCAATGAAATGGTTCTTCATTAATCATCCCCACAGCTTAGCATCAATTTTTATGGTCTATGAACAAATCACCAAAGTACTTTCATACAATCATGTTGTTCTTCAGTCTAAATTGACCAAGTTCTTTTCACTCTCCTCAGTCATAATTATCCGTTTCAAGGGTAAGTTTTTGCTGAACTCGGGTAAATCTGGTTCAAGCTTAGGATCCTTCATATGCTAAAAATCAGATTTCTGAAAGAGACTTTAGGACGCAAATTTCAAACCCTTTTCCTCAAATTCTTTGAAGAAAATGCTCTTTTCTATGTCTCTTTTGCAGTTTTTTTTTCATCCTAAAATTCTCTTTGGACCCAAGAGTGTGTGAAGCCATATGATCATGTCAGGTTGTTAATTCTGTGTCAATGAATCCCCTTTCAGCTGACCTTTTTTGAGAGCAGAGAAGCACGAGTAAGGGCAGAGGCAGAGGCAGAGGCCCCCCCTTCCCACTCTTCTCTTAGGACTTTTTAAAGTCTGGTCTAAAGATGGTCTTACTAGTATTGTTTGAGATCCGAGCTCTCCAGGGTGTCATTCATACCCATTGCATAGTTTTTTAACCCCCCCCCCCTCCCCCTACTTTTGTTTTTTGTTTTCTTTTTTACTTTGCTGCAAACCCGATGTTAGGTCTTCTGTTAGGCATATGGCCATATTCCCCTCTCTCTCTCTCTCTCTCTCTATTAATTGCACCGAAGATCCTCAAAATATAGGATTTATCTCATTTTGGCCTCCAAAATTTTAATTACATCATTTAATCTTTAAAGTATTGAATATATTTTTATATGATTCCTCAAACAGATAACATCTAAATTATTAATTATTTTTAATCATAAACATGTCATGTGATACCAAAGTATAGGCAAACACATTATTTTGATAGGTGTTAACCAAAATTTTAGTAACTCATGACAAAAAATGTGTAATTTGAGTAGTTCGTTGACCAAAATTTGGTCAACATCTACCCAAATTATTTTTACTCATATTTAAGTATCACGTTACAAGTTTATAATAAAAAAATATTAATAATTTAGACGTTATCTCCTTGAAGGACTAATAAAAACATATTCAAAATTCTAAGGGCTAAAATAATAAAATTAAAATATTGAGAATCAAAATGAGAAAAATCTCATACTTTGGAGACCTCTAGTGCAATTAATCCTATTTATATATATATCAATATGTGTGTATGTGTCACTCCTACTGTATATCTTAATGCAGGAATACGTGAATAGACCAAACATATTTGACAATAGGCTTGGGAAATGTGAATTGCTTTGCGCATTTGAAGGGGGAGTTTTGTTCTACGATCTACAAGAGCTAGTTTACATTAGACTCTTTTTTTTAAGTTGTTTACAGGAATTTTGATTTAAGGGTTTTATTTTTTTTTTTACAATAATTATAGAAAGTCTACGAAGGGAAGCAGGAAAATCCGTCGATTTTGCATGCACTAAGGTTATTGCATTTGGCCATCCAATTCGAAACATTTTCAACTAGTCCAGCACAATGGTCCCCTATCTCATTAAAACGGAGGATGACTTGTATCTATTAAGTGTAGAAGTTGACTGTAACCCACGTTCCCGGTGCTCCGATCATCCATCGTATCTTAGGTGTCTCCACGTCACGGTCTTACCCAAGTAAATAGTAATTCTTAAGTAATCAGTTTTAGCTGGCAACTTAATTGTCTTGGCTGTGCTCTTGGAGTCCTGTTTGTCTGAGGAAGGGACCACAGCCACATTTTTTTAGGGGGGGAACAGATCCACTGTTCAAATTTTTGNAGCTGGCAACTTAATTGTCTTGGCTGTGCTCTTGGAGTCCTGTTTGTCTGAGGAAGGGACCACAGCCACATTTTTTTAGGGGGGGAACAGATCCACTGTTCAAATTTTTGGGGTTTCTTGTCCATTTTGGGAATGTTAATGCTGAAGTTTATATCAGTCAAATGCACTCTTAGTGTAGGAGTGCCATGGAAAGTATTTTAATAATCAAAATTGGCAGGAAGTTTCTTACTTTTAGCACCAATTAGGAACGTTATAATGCGAGTTCAGAATCTTCAAAATACTAAAATTTGCCTTATAATACACTTTGAAGATGATAGAATTGTACCATGATTTTTTGTTGATGATGACGGTGGATTTAAGTGTGAGCTCTCTTTAAAGTCTAAAATTTTTTTTGGCTCACGCGGGACAACTTGAGCGTTTTATTTAGATAGCTTTCATTGAGCTCGAGTTGGACCACATTCTAATTCCATAGAAACCTACAATAACNTTTTTTTTGGCTCACGCGGGACAACTTGAGCGTTTTATTTAGATAGCTTTCATTGAGCTCGAGTTGGACCACATTCTAATTCCATAGAAACCTACAATAACTTAGCTCGAAATATATATCAGCTCAGTATCGATAAGCTCGGTACGAATACCCGCTCGAGAGTGGAGAGCTCGGCACTAGACAATTTGCCAATGGTCGTACTGCAACACATGGACAAGAGACAAAGGGACAGTACCTGACAACTCTAACGAATGAATATTCATCGATAGTNCGCCAATGGTCGTACTGCAACACATGGACAAGAGACAAAGGGACAGTACCTGACAACTCTATCGAATGAATATTCATCGATAGTAGAAATGACTCACGTATTCCATTCATGACATAATAGGCACAAAAAAATGTCAGAGATAGCAAACTCAGCAACAGGACAAGCAAAGAGGGGATCACAAAATCAGTTTGGAAATGAACTGCCACGAAACCATAGCGATAGGATATATAAATAGCAAACGATGCCACTATATAAAATATATATGAGNACAAAATCAGTGTAGAAATGAACTGCCACGAAACCATAGCGATAGGATATATAAATAGCAAACGATACCACTATATAAAATATATATGAAAAAAAGATCACCCAGCAGTAAAATACTCTGTAAAAGGCTTCTAGCCAAATACCTTATAAGTGCAATCCTCTCTCTCAAGCAATACAATTTTAATGAGTAAAAGTCTTTCTCACAGTAGATATAATCTTGGTCCCTCGACTAAAGTGAACTACTCATATTATTTTCTTTGTCTCACTTGCTACACACAACACGCTTTCANCTTTCTTACAGTAGATATAATCTTGGTCCCTTGACTAAAGTGAACTACTCATATTGTTTTCTTTGTCTCACTTGCTACACAACACGCTTTCTGTCTCAAAGGCTCATTTTCATTCCCTCTATACCACAACTCAAATTGTTCTGTTATTAGATAAATTAATTTCGAGCACCATCAGTTGATAAGCGATATGTAGACTTCTTAGAATACCAACTGGTTATATATAATTCAAAAGGAATGCTAAAAAGGGCATCCAAAGAGAAGGCTCAAAGGACATCCAACTTGTCTATTCCTTGTTTGGGTTTTTTTTTTTTTGGGGGGTGGGGTGGTGTAAGCATATGATGAACTTAGGAACATTTGAAGGCATATGTTATAAAAAAAACTTGAGTGTTTCGCACTTTTAGCATATTAATAAGAGCTTTTTAATGGACAATGTGTTTTAGTGACACCTATGTCCGTCGAATTGGACAACGTCGCTAGTCACTCACATAATTTGAATCAATTAGGCCTTAATGGCCTTCAAGCCTAGTCTCAACTCTCTAAGTGCAGTTCATGTAAGGTAGTACTAATGCACGAGCTCTATGGTCACATTATGATTTCGTTGACTCAATTTAAGGATTAACAGCCGGAATATAATTTGTGTAAATGTGCAATGTCTATTCGTATGTCTTAGTCTGAAAGACATTTTAATACATATCATCCACAAGATTGGTGTTTTTTTCACTCCAATAGTTTGGTAACAATACTTGTTAACCCTTGGTTTGTCCGAACTCTTACCAACTACGATGAAGATGATATTTGCATTTTAAGACCATCAAACAAATCCAGATGAGTTAAAATCTAGTCAACTCCAAACGGAGTCGTTTGGTTCGAATGTTGTTTAACAACCTTAAATTAAGCCTTGAGTCAAACAAGTCCAATTCAAAGGCCACCCAAGGCCCTCCACCTCAACTTTTGGGCTACTTATAATTAAAAAGCCCATTATCAACGGATCCAATTACTAAATCCAGTAGATCATCTTCAACACTTTAACATCTTAACCATAGACCATTGTTATATGTCAATTAAGGCCCAAAATACTTGAGGCCTCAAATCTCCCATCAAGAAAATACCCAGGACCATGACTTGTATGAAAAGCTAGTCCTAATGGGCCGTCGATGGACCATAGCAATGGGCCTCAAATTGATTTTTTTCTTTTACAAAAAAATAAATTTAAATATAATCTTAAAAGAAATAACTAAATTCATGTAATTTAAAAAAAAAAATCAGAGTTTTAAATGGGCCATCCTGTTGGATTACTTGGCCCTAGAAATTCTAGCTCAAATCTTACAATGACATTCTCTCCCCATCCCTTGCGTTAACCTATTTAGACAATTATTTTGGTTGGAACGAGATGATGGTAGTCGCCCTTTCCAAACCATATCTTTTGAATAATTTCAATATATATGGCACAAGAAGATTCCATATATTAAGAGAATTTTGATGATTGTGGCATTAGAGAAGCTTTGTAGAGTGGTTCCCACTCTGCATCAAGTGCTATGATAAAAAAAATTTGAGTTTATTTATTTCAAAAGAAATACATAAATTCGTATAAGATTGTTTTTTTTTTTTTATCAGGCTTTTAAATGGCCCAGCCCATTGGATTACTTGGCCTAGAATACCTAGCCCAGATACTACCCATACCCCGGAACATGATTCACTGACCGTCGGTCTGCATGTCGTGCCATGGCCCGTTGTCCCTAATACTATGATGGGTGGGCTATAATGGGAATCGAAGTTACCAAACCAGACCATATAAAAACTGACCACACCGCTCATATCATATGGCACTCATAAAACTCTCGGCGATCACCTCCTCTTCTACAGTGTCCCGTAGGCGATTGCCCTTAGTCGGAGCATTTTGTGTCCTGAGTTCGGGGCTATCGAATCTTTGCCCTTCTCTTTCTCTCTCTTCCAAAACCGGTTGTGCTCAGTCCCTTCCTTTGGCTCCTCTCTTCAGTTACCTTCACTTCACTTCCATTAATTTAATTTCCAGGTCTCATACCCTGAATTTCCATTCGATGTTAGTGTGTGTGTGTGTGTGTTCTATTCTGACATGTTTTTGGGGATGTCAGATCCAAGTTTAGCAGCCAAACAGCAGCTCAGAGTGTTGATCGTATAAGAATGGAAGCAAATAACAAAACTGTGCCCAGTATTGTTGTCTATGTTACTGTCCCAAACAAAGAGGCAGGTTAGGGTTCTTTGCTTCTGATCACATATTCACATCTAATTTTTGAGTTAGCAGGCGTTATTTGTGTGTTTTTTTTCCATTTGTATACTGGAGCTACTCACTTTCAATGCTTTTCATCTCATCGTCATGCTAATTATGTTTGAACTGAATCTAGTATTGTATGTTTCCTGACTGAATTCTTGAAATATCATTAATAAATTTTACAAATGGCCCTCAAATTTTTAGGGCATTTTTTTTCCGTTTGACAATTGTTCATGATCAATTGAGCTTGGTTATCTGCTTTCGTTTATGTTAGGATTTGGCTGGAAATTGCCTTCTTAAATCCTCTTTTTCTGTTACTTGTTAATGGAACTGTTACTTTTGGACACTTTTCCTTGGAAGGTATTTGTTTTTGTAGTCCTGATACTTTTTATATGCACTGTTGCTTTAGCATGATTTTCTTCCTTGTTCTCCTCCTCTTTTGTGTCCCTTTTATACCTGTGTATTCTTAATGATACGTCTAACAATACAATTTGAAGATGCTGGACAGACAGGACCATTTCATACCTGTTCTTTTCTAACTGAAAGAAGTGGAAGCAGACTTGCCTGAGAGATGTAGCTAACTGATAGGGCCCTTTAGGCCAATTAAGAGATCAGATTTCACTTCAAGAACTAGTTCAAATAGCCCCGATCAAGCAGAAGAAATGCTTGCTCTCAGCTTTATGTTAGCAAGACTCCATTGCTATTGGACTTGGCTACTATGCCAAGAGGGAAGAAGTCTTAACTCATTTTAAGGCCTTTAGTTTTTTTTTAAAAAAATATTTTCAAATATTCTTACTACAAAAATTGAAGCTATTCAGCCGACCTGACAATGTCATTATCTATGTTGTTCTCCAACCTTTTATTTTTGTAGCATGTTATAGCTTAGTATTTCTTAGTTGGCCCAAAAAATGTATGAAGAAAAAATTTGTAGGAGCTTAGTTCATCTTGATTCTACTCTGAATTTCAATAATTGTTGTTACTGATTTGTATTGTGTCAACTGCTATCATATTGTATCATATGATGGTTCCTTGTGGTTCAGGTAAGAAACTGGCTGAAAGCATAGTGAAAGAAAAACTTGCAGCATGTGTAAATCGAGTACCAGGTCTGTGTTTCAGTTTCATGAACCATGCCCTATGTCTCGACTTTGTCGTGCTTTATTTTAGTCAAATAACATTTAAGTTTTAAATGGGATTTGTATTTTCCATTACACTTGGATTTGTAAATTTCCTTTACTTTTCCAGGCAGAAGGGTGAATGTATGTATGGCGGTAAGCATGCTTCCACTGATATTTCTCAACTAAGTAGGTGGTATATCAATTTTCTTGCAAGAAAGAAAATAATTTGACACTAAATTATCCATACCATTTGATACTTAATGTTATTAATCTGGAGTTCTGAACTTTAAACTGCATATGTAAAGAAGAATGAAATACAAGTTGGAAAAATGAGCAGTAAATAAATATTTCTCGAAAGTTTCACATCATCTTTAAGTAGGTTGATATAGTCAATTTTTACTTTCAGAAGTTGCCTTGATTTTAGCTATATTCTTTCTTTCTTTTTATTTTTTTTCTCGTGCAAAATTACAGCAGACGGGGAAGGCTGGGGAGGAGACTCGAACTGTCAACCTCCAGGTCGCAGTGGGGAGAACTTACCCACTGGGCTAGCACTAAAGTCATCTGTATTCTGTCTTTCACTAAGGTAGAAATGGCGAGAGTGGGATGCAGTGTGTGGTGTCAACCTGTGGGATGTTCCTTGTTCTTATTAAACTTGATAGAATGTGAGACATCCCCTTCAATAAACCACTTGAAGCCCATAATCAATGGAAAGAAAGTAGACAACGGCTATAAGGAAGTTGGTGCCCTGGCAGCCATGGTTGTTGGCTACCATTTCTTGGCATACCTTTCTTTGCAAAGGATGAAGCTTCAACCCGGAACTTAGATTAATGGGAATCTTCGAGGGACACAATTTGGCTTCATTAGTGCCTATGTTAAGTTGTAGGATTAAGACTTCATTACCAGTAAAATTACTGATCATTAAACGAGGAATGATATGTAGAGATTGTGGTGGAGTTGGTCTCTAAGATTGCCTTATAGATGCTTGAGAGAGACCTCTAACTTTTGCAATATATTGACTAACTGAAGGCCAATATCTTTTTTTAGGGAAGGTGAAACAACTTCACCATCTGATAATCATCCAATTTTTTGAATACATAGATTATATTTGTTGAACTTCTATTCTTCAGGTTTTGGATCCCTTAGTCTAAAGTTAAATCTTGATAATCCATTGGCCTTCTGAGTGCAGGTATAGAATCAGTTTATCAGTGGCAGGGAGGGGTAAGTTTTGCTTTGTACCAGAGAACAAGAATTACATTTGGAGGCAAAGGGAATTGTATTGTTTCTTTGGCCCTCGATTTTTGTGAAGTGGTTTGAAAGAAGGTTTATGCTTCCACATTTTGGCTGCAGATACAGACAGATTCTGAGGAACTGCTTATAATCAAGACCAGAGAATCCCTTTTGGAAGCCCTGACAGAGCATGTTAAGGCAAATCATGAATACGAGTAAGCTCTGCAATACCTTTTTATATACTTCCGGATAAGCTAAAGGGAAAATATGAGAAAAAGTAATCTTTTTTTGTCCACAAGAGTTGGTAAACCTGTATATTGGTTTATCAATTGCCAAATCCCCAGTCATAATCTCTCGGAATCTGAACTTCTGGACCTTGATGTGTTGATGGTAAAACATCCCACTTGATTATTGACATCGCAGTAGAGAGCTCTCACTCATTAGTTTGCTTTCTGTTTTGTTCAGGGTGCCTGAGGTGATTGCAATGCCCATAACTGGTGGCAGCCTCCCGTACCTGGAATGGATTAAAAATAGCACTAGGGACTGAATTCTTCGAGTGTACGAGTTACATCAATCCATGAAGAATATGTCCAAATAACATTTCCTGTTCAGTTGTACATTCGGATCTCTCTCTCTCTCTCTGTAGGGGTGTGTGGGGGCAGGCAGACCGCCCTCCCCGTTTGTGCAAGTGTGCCATGTGTATCTAAGCAGTGGGGGATTAATAATGTAATAAAGTTACATAATATATGTCTAAAGGTTTGTAATTGGTAGTGTAAGTAAAAATTAGGGTTGAGTTTGTGTTACTATTTAAAATGGTGGAATTCTTCATTTTGGGTATTGAGTATTTTAAGGTATTACTATTTGAAATACCTATTTTAAGGTATTACTATTCTTCTTTTTGGGTATTACTATTTGAGTTTGTATTACAATCTCATTCGTGTCACTATAGTAACATTTGTGTCACTATAGTGTCACAATAGTAACACTAATATTAAGAAAATTTTGTAATTAGATTTTGACTTAATAGACCAACGATTTATTCGTACATTAAGATTTTATATATAACTATCAGAATATATAATTTTTATATAAAATTTTTTTAATTATCGTAATATTTAATAAACGATTTTCATATATAACTCAATCAAAAGTTTTTATATATATTTCAATGATCTAATTTATGTGAAGGAGACGATAAGTCATACATTAGTTATTGTTTTTTCAAATAGTAAGGGTATAATAATAAATTTGATAAAAAGTGGACTTAAAATAAAATAAATTTTTTTATCAAATTTATCTCCAAATAAATCTATAGGCCGACTTTCAAATTTTCCGTATTTCAATCCATCATGGGGTCCATTTTATTCCCTTTGCCCTTGCCAAATGGTTGGGAGGAAATAACTCTGTAAATGATGGGATGCCATTCACCATCTTGTGGATAAGGTCAGAAAGTTGAGGAACACACGAAAATATCAATCTTAGAATGGCGTATTACGTGATTCAACAATAAAATAAACACAAAAATACCTTCTAACATGCACAAAAATTACAGTAGAACACTACAACTCCATACTCGGATGACACGTTGGATTAATTTTTCAATGCCAAGCATATTAAAATGTCAAAATTATGCCCTCAACTTTGGAAAATGAAAAGATCTTTTTTTTTTTTCAACAATTTTTGATCGCTAATGGACCTCTCAATAGGATTCAGGGCCTGTTTGATTTGATTTTTAAAAATAATTTTTTGTTCGCAAAATTCTAAAAACAAAGAAGATGCTATTTGTTTAGTATTATTGTTCTAAATTTTTTGAAAATTTTGGGAAATTAAATATAATTTTAGAGAACAACAAAATAATGTTCTCATTGTTTTCTAAGGCAAAATAAAAATAAAAGAAACAACCTATCTCCAAATTAAAGACATCTTTCATTCGAGTTTCAGTGGAGACAAAAAAGAGTGACTGTCTCCACTACCTCACTCAGCTCCCTCTCTCTCTTTCGCAACTACGAAGGCTTTAAAACTGAAGAATGAATTGTGCATATACACAAATCTGTTCAATCGTCTTCTCCACCGCCTCACTGACCTCTTTCTCTCTCTTTCACAACTTTTTCTTCTCCGCCTCATTATGCGTCTATGTGTGTGAGTTTGAGCATCTGTGTGTCTATGTGTGTGTTTGTGGAGAGTGAGAGAGAACAAGAGAGAGAAGAGAATTGGAGGGTTTTGTAAATTATTGTCCAAACAAATTTTATAATTTTTTGTTCTTTAAAATTATGTTTAAAAACATATAACCAAATAGGTTTTGCAATCTTAAAATTTTCAAAAACACTATTTTAAAACTCTTCTCAAAAACTATTTTTGGATATTATTTTTTAAAATACAAACTAAACTGGGCCAGATATTCTTGAAAAAAGGATAAAAGGAAAGTTGAGGATATAAGCAATGCCAACCACAACAGAAAGGAAAATAGCAGCAGATAAGCAACTTTGTACTTCCACCAGTCCAAATTCCAAATCACTCTAAGAACTCTAAAGCAGGTTTAGTTCGAGTATGAAACAAAGCATGCCAAGGGTTTATACCCGTTTCCCAAACACACTTAGTCAGCACAACAATGACATTTGAAGCCCACCTCCCCCAGGAGACAACAATGACTGATCAGCTCCGATATCATGGCTCATCCACCTGGTCCTGCATGAAATGAACATGAGATCTTTTGATCAACCTTGCTGTCTTACAAACCATACTTCAGTCACGGGAATGTGAGCCTACAGCATGCACGTGCAAGTCGTACAGATGAGTAATTTGTAATGAGTTGTAATTTGTAATTTGTAAACACCATAAAAAAGACAAATGTGTGTGTGCTTCTATGTGCACGAATCATACAAACCATGCCTTCAGTCAAGTGAGTATGAATGCACACAAAATTACGGTCTCACCTGCTAGGTGCATGTTTTGCATTTAATTCAGGGTGTTTGAGAGAGAGAGAGAGAGAGTACTGACCTGGGCATCAGAAGTCCAAAGAGTGAGATTGTCCCTTAGGAGTTGCATGATGAGAGTGCTGTCCTTGTATGATTCTTCACCCAAGGTGTCCAGCTCAGCTATGGCTTCCTCAAATGCCTATTCATAAGTATGATGGTAGGACCATATCAATACAAATCATTTTGCAACCTGATGCGTGAAACTATGCATCCTAATCCTTAAAACTATCCTGTAACACCAGCCTCCACTATCTTTTCAAGTAGCATAATTTGCAGAAGCCAAAGACGTGAATTATAACCATCAAATAAGTCAACTGAGCTCGTTTAATTATTAGCCAAAAAATGGAAGTTTGTCCCAAGAAAGGGGTATTTGACATTTCAGTAGGTGGCAATCATATGAAAATTTCCCAGCATCCTATGCAGACCATCACTGGGATAATTGTTATTTCTGCCCAAGATGTAGAATATGTTTAGGCAGCAGTCAACTATAAATGTAATTTGCATCTTATCCACCAAATGAATTGTCAGGTCACCAAAGAGTTTCAAAAATACTTCTCTGAAACATGTCCAAGAAACTAATGGAAAATATAAAGTTGAGTAGCTTTGTCCACACTCTACACTTTTAACAACCAAAAATAACAAGGTCAATCCAAATAAGTAGATAGTTGGGGAATGTATGCCATCAACCCCATTCCCATCCCAATCCAACCCCCAAAAAATATTAAAAAAAAAAAAAAAAAAAAAAACCACCCAACCCAATAGAAAGGAAGGGAGGGAGTATGAGGAAAGAAAACTCGAATGAGGTACTTTCAAGAACTTGATCCCGTGACTCCGGTCTACGTAGATTTCATTTGTCTTTGCCTCTATTTTTATAATCATTACCCTGTATAGCCAGCCTACAATATACATCATGGCTAGATCTAATTAGTTTTGTTCTGTCATTGCTCTCTCACTTAGACCAAGAATGAAATCTAAAAGATAATAATCAACTACAAGTGCTGGGTTGTTCTCATTGAGCCAGTCACCCACTTGCAAAATAAGAAGCACACTCCTATCCAAAATCTAAAAAGTAACGCAGATGCATGTAGTTTAAGCCCCACCAGACGCACACACAAGGAGAGCATATATATAGTAGATGCACATCTAATTTTGAACCAAGAGCCTTCAGCCAAGGGGAAGACTTAAGCGTTGAACAGTTAAAAATTACAAAGAATAAGCAGGAACCAAAAATGCGGGTGTGATAATAGGTATACAAAACTGTCTCCCCCATTTTTTTTTTCTTATCGAACTCTGACTTGGGAAACAACAAGGAGCCTGTCCATCTTCAAAGCACTCCCATGTTCAAGAATTAAGATACAGGTTCCTTCGTGCAACAATTATGTTCCTCTTTTTCTAAAAGCCTCGTTCAGCTATATTCTTATCATCAAATGATGATATACAGTAACCCAATGTAAGACCAATTTTAAATAACCAGATTCTCACATACCTGTTTTGCCATACTACAAGCCTTGTCAGATGAATTGAGAATCTCATAGTAGTAAACCGAGAAATTGAGCGCTAGCCCCAGCCTTATTGGATGTGTCGGAGCCAGATCAGCCATTGCAATTTCCTTCAAACAAAAACATCATCACGCAGTTGAATTAGACTTAGCAACTTTGATAACAATTAACAACCACTCTCCTGAAACCCCAAATACTCAACCTACAACAAAAACTGCAATATTCATTCACTCAAATACCCCAAATTCAACCAGCAAAAACTTAATTAATTATACACACACCCACACATATATAGACCTATACAATCCTAGCCCCAAGTCAGATTGTTCAAAACTGAGTCATTCAGAACACTGAAAAGTTCAATCCATAGCAAATGAACTACTGTTATACAAACTTATTATCTGTAATTTTAGCCAAATTTCACCATGTGCATCACTTGTCAGGCTATAACCACAGACATGATTGCTAAACACAACATAAATCAGCCCATGCATAAACGTAAGCACAATAATTGCACAATATCCAACAAATTTCACACGGAAACCCTAATTATTAACTGTAATCCCCTAACTGGTTTGATTATACCACCCATATCTATCCTTCACACACATGTAATATCTTGCCCTAATTTCACAATTTAGGCACAAACACAATCAAAGCAAAGAAATTCAAAACATAGCAACCTGAGCATCCTTGTAAGCGTTCATAGTATCCTCCGCAGCTTGCTTGCGCTCATCTCCAACCTTAAACTCAGCCATATACCGATGATAATCCCCTTTCATCTTCAAGTAAAACACCTTCGACTCACTCGAGGCAGCCGAAGGCACAAGATTCGAGTCCAAAAGCTTCAAAATACCAGCACACACCTCAGACAACTCAGATTCCACCTTAGATCTGTAGTCCTTGACCAGAACCACGTGGTCTTCGTTCTTGCGAGACTCCTCTTTCTGCTCAATCGATGAGACGATGCGCCACGCCGCTCGGAGCGAGCCGATCACGTTCTTGTAGGCGACAGAAAGGAGGTTTCGTTCCTCGACGGTAAGCTCGGCGGCTGGTGTAGAACCGATGACTAGCTTTTCCATGAACTTGACCATCTCTTCGTACCTCTCAGCTTGTTCGGCCAGTTTAGCCATGTAGACGTACTGGTCTCTGGTCAAATTGTCCGCCATTGGAGAGAACTTGCAGTGGAGGGAGAGAGTAGGGAAGGAGACGGAGACGGAGACGGAGAAGGAGAAGGAGAAGGAGAGACAGAGAAAGAAATGACCGCTTTTGCCCTTTTTCCGCGGTGCCGGCGGTGATGATTACACAAATGTTGTTGGAAGAATGAGTGTATCGTAATATTGTACGAATGTGATGGCGGCCGTTTGATTGATACGTGATGCATCAAAGATTTAGCCTTAACGATGTCGTTAAATAGGCACGGGTCTCCGTGAGTCGGATTACCTGCGAGTTGTCTTATCTGGTTCGAAATTCAATAGATTAGATAGTTGTCCCATCCGAGACTAATAATTTTCAAAACGAAGAATTTGAATTTGTCTTCAAACTCATTATCCAGCCCGGTCCAAGAGTACGTTCGCCAAACCCAACCCGTCCACCCTTCATTTGAAAAATAATTATTTTTTAGATCATTAAATTTAAATTTTTAAAATAAGTCTTTCAATGTCAAAATTAGAAGTTTTAAAAACTTAAATACTATAAATAATATTTTATTTTATTTTTTATATATTAAGCATACAAATTTTAAAAGGTAAAGTAATACAAATGATAGATAAATAAGTAAGTGTCAACCTAGTTGGGATGTATTCATTCTATTGGACGTAGTTCATCACCTAATTAAAAATAAAATTATTCATTATTTTATTTTTATCTATTTTGACTCTATTTTTAATTCAAAAATATAATTTACATAAATATTAAATTACAAAAATATTTGTTATTTTTAAATAAAGTTATATATAAAAAATTTCTGAAGTAGACACGCCAAATAAGCTCGCGAGTTGGGCTATGAGTAACTTACCCCTACCCAAAATCCTGTCCAGCCTGTCTGATAATTCATTTGGATAAAGGCTTAAATCTACACTATTCAAGACCAACCCGAAAAAAATTTTGCAAGCCTAACTCGGTCCGACTCATGGACACCCCATACGTCCCCTGGCGTTGTTTAAAAGGGGTCCTAATCAAGTAATAAAATTAATTAAAAAATATAGAATTTAATTTATTTATATATTAATTATTCATAATTTATATACGATATGGACTCGATATAATATAATTTATTACATACAAATTAATAAACGAATAAATATAAATTTTAATATAACACAATTCATTAAACATAAATTAATAAATAAATCCGGTATAAATGAACTTTTTTTTTTTGACACGGGCCTCTGAACGTTAGCTTTCACTGCGCACACTATTAGCAGGGTCAATGGTAATTGTAACTGGATCCAAACGACGTCGTACCAGAGGTATAAATTAGACCACTATCAAACCCCGGAATTGCTCTGACCTGGCTTCTCTCTCTCTATCTCTCTCTTCTGTCTCTAATTTAATATTTAGGTTTTCCTAGTTTAGATGGAGGGGAGGAACTGGGAGGTAAGATGGAAGAACTCCATCTCTTAAGTTCAGGTGAACATTCTTGTTCTTCATATTTGGGTTTCCTGTCCTTTTTTCCCTTATTTTGTTTTGGTTAATTTGATCTTTTTATTTGCAATTTGTTGAAGAAAGTCTCATTACCTTCCTGGACTGTTATTCGCTAAGTGGGTCAAAATATTTCAATTTGTGAAGTTTAGTGGTATTTTTTTTTTTTTTTATATTTCAGTTGATTAAGCTATTTTTGGTGGGTACAGAGCCCCCTTATGTGTTGTTTGTGCTTTATAAGATGGATATCGAGATGGGTAGTATATGTGGGAGTGAACTCAAGAGTCAAGAATCAGTGCTCTGGGTAGTTCTAATGCCACTGATTATGGGGAAGTGTGCTGCACTAGAATCAGGTATCAGGGTTAAGGCGTGAAAACGAGTTAAGAGTCAAAATGACTTGATTGAAAGCAAGAAGAAAAGAAATCTTCAAAGCCAGAAAAAACGTGTGCATTCAAAATATGCATGACTCTCCAGGAAGGTAACCAAATTAAACACCTTGGTGATCTTGTGTTCAGCGCATGAAGGATTAGTTTCCTTGATTGGGCACGTGTCTCCTTCTTTCCCGATCTTAACTGAAATCGTTAGCAATTGGTTGAGCTTAAACTCATCACCTGCCTAGTTTATTAATCATTGGTATTTTATTTCTCGTTACAGCTGCTAATCCATGTTGAATGGAGTGACCCTTGTCACCTGAGTATATTCAAGTGAATGACTTTTGTAATCTGAATTATAGATTTTTATATCTGTTAACGTTAATACTTAGCTTGTTCTTAACTGAGAACCTCCAATGACTGCAGTGATGCACTTGAAAATTTATTATATGTTTTAGATGGATTGGCCTCCGAGGAAAAAACTTTACCTAAGTTTTGGTTGCCCCCATTGAAAAGTTGTCAAAAACTTAAGGGTTGGTTTTGTATTTTATAAAACATATGGCGTCCTTTACCAGGTTAGGATTTAAAGGCTTCTCAGTATCTCATCATTCAAATTTTCCATTCATCTCTCCCACCATATTTGTTGCAGCTCTTCCTTAGTTCCGGGCTTCTAGCTCTGTGCTCCTCTCTTACTCCTATGCATTCCTCTCTATGGTCTTCCCTCCCTCTCTTTGTTCTCTGTTTTTTATCTTCCCTCTATTCAACCATTCCTCCCTCTGTTTTCGACTTCTACCATCGTTTATACAAGTCGATTGGGAGGATATCTTTGACAGAGATGAGAGCTTAGGAGATTGTATCGGAGATGGCATGTGGAGAGGTACCAATAAGTGATTTATTTGATTTCAATAGNCACCTGCCTAGTTTATTAATCATTGGTATTTTATTTCTCGTTACAGCTGCTAATCCATGTTGAATGGAGTGACCCTTGTCACCTGAGTATATTCAAGTGAATGACTTTTGTAATCTGAATTATAGATTTTTATATCTGTTAACGTTAACACTTAGCTTGTTCTTAACTGAGAACCTCCAATGACTGCAGTGATGCACTTGAAAATTTATTATATGTTTTAGATGGATTGGCCTCCGAGGAAAAAACTTTACCTAAGTTTTGGTTGCCCCCATTGAAAAGTTGTCAAAAACTTAAGGGTTGGTTTTGTATTTTATAAAACATATGGCGTCCTTTACCAGGTTAGGATTTAAAGGCTTCTCAGTATCTCATCATTCAAATTTTCCATTCATCTCTCCCACCATATTTGTTGCAGCTCTTCCTTAGTTCCGGGCTTCTAGCTCTGTGCTCCTCTCTTACTCCTATGCATTCCTCTCTATGGTCTTCCCTCCCTCTCTTTGTTCTCTGTTTTTTATCTTCCCTCTATTCAACCATTCCTCCCTCTGTTTTCGACTTCTACCGTCGTTTATACAAGTCGATTGGGAGGATATCTTTGACAGAGATGAGAGCTTAGGAGATTATATCGGAGATGGCATGTGGAGAGGTACCAATAAGTGATTTATTTGATTTCAATAGNTTTATACAAGTCGATTGGGAGGATATCTTTGACAGAGATGAGAGCTTAGGAGATTGTATCGGAGATGGCATGTGGAGAGGTACCAATAAGTGATTTATTTGATTTCAATAGCCTTTGTAACTTTGTGGGATTGTAATTAGGTTTCTATTATCCCACCCATTTAATTGTTTTCATATAGAATTAGAGCTTTGATTATTGAATTTGAACCGAACCATGTTGATTTTGTCATTTATGTATTGATTTTTTTTGAAATTGTCTGCAGTGCCATGACTCATATCAATGAATTTTTTTTTCAAAAATTGGAGGCTGAAGAAATGAATTTATTTAGGTTGTAGCGAAGTCTTCTGTTTGTAAAGAACAAATTATTTTGAAGGTTTACACTAAGACAATTAAAAATCTGTAAGTTCTCTCCTCTGACATTTTTATATGTTGGATTAAAATTGGGATTTGGAGCTTGTTATATTAACTGGATTGCTATATTTGGAATTTACCCGTTATGGATTATGTTTTGGATCAAACTATTTTGATTGATTAGGCTTGAAGAAGTATGGATTACATTGTGGATTAAGTTAATTTATTTGCTTGAACTTAAATAATTTGATTGTGATAGATTACATTGTTCCTATATCTACGTTCGGTTTAATAGATTTGTGATAGATTTAAGTTTTCTTAAATTTTTCTTTTAAAGCTGTATGATTTTTATTATTTGTTAAACAATTGGCATGAAACTTTGCTTAGAAAAGACTAAATAATATTTTGCGAAAAAAAGGCTTTAATGAATTATAGGTTGTCCCCACTAAGAATTATCCTGGCTCCGCCCCTGGTAATAATGATTTAACACTGTTGATTTCATAGTGCAAATTATGAAGTTGACAGCTTCCATCTATTGTAGAATTGAATCCTTGGCAAAGGCAGGATGCAGTGACCTTTCTTAAAAGATTGATTGAAAACCTAAAACAATCTAGCAAGCAGGGGTACAGCCGAATTTATTCCAGTTGGGTTAGGTGACTTAAATGGGTCAGATGACCTCACTGAGTTAAAAAATGATGTTGCTTATTGGATATTTTCTGTAAGTTATTGGATTTTTTTCATATTTGACCCCACTAAAAGTTAAATAAAATCTTTAAAAGAGAAACAAGGGTAGATTTTTATAACTCCAAGAAGATAAATGTGTGTTTAAAAATTCACTAACATTCAGATATTTTTTAAGTGTCACATCCTCTATATTCTACCTCTTTCCATTTCTTATTGTGGTTACTGTTGACTTGTTGCCACCAATACCCTCATGAATTGCTCATGATAAAAGCTGTCTGAAATTCAAACATGAAAGAATCCATATACCAGAATAGCAATGCAAGTTTCTGTGTATACATGTATGTAAATGGTCCAGTTTGGATCGTTATATATCTACCTTTGTTCTCAATTTAGATCCATTTGGTTGATCAGTCATTAAGTGCATTTTCTATTATGACTGAATTTTTCTTTTTCTTTCTTTTATTGTGTTATGAAGATAATTTGTCTGGAATTTGATATCTGTGTATGTTTTTCAGTTTTTGTCTACATTTTCCTTTCTTAAACTTCAAGGCAAAGAGTTGAAGTGCAAACCCATGGCTAGGTGATTCCCATCTTCTTCAAATGTTGAAGTTCTATAACAACTTCCGCAGTACTCATGAATTCAGTGAAAGTTGCTGCCCATAAGAGTGGTTGTTTGTCCTCTTTGCATTCTAAATCACTATCATCCCTTCAATGGATCTCTCCTCTTCAATACATCAAAGCCACATCCCCAAAACTAGACCCTCCAAACGATACAACGTCCATGACAGAGTTGCCAAGGAAACCCAAATTCATTTCTCATGAGGCTACCATCAACTTGATAAAACGTGAGAAAGACCTAGAGCATGCCCTACAACTTTTTAACAAGGTAGCAAGTCAAAAGGGTTTTAATCACAATAACTCAACCTATGCCACTATTCTGCATAAGCTTGCTCAATCCAAGAAATTTGAGGCCGTAGATGTTGTTCTTCATCAAATGGCACACGAACCTTGCAAGTTTCATGAAGGTATTTTCCTTAACCTCATGAAGCATTTTTCTAAAGCTTTACTTCATGAAAGAGTACTTGAGATGTTCTATGCAATCCAAACGATTGTCCGTGAAAAGCCCTCCCTCAAAGCCATCAGCACATGTCTTAATCTTCTGGTCGAATCAAATCAAGTTGAATTGATGAGGACATTTCTCTTAAATGCCAAGAAGAATCTCCACTTGAGGCCCAATACCTGCATCTATAACATCCTCGTTAAACATCACTGCAACAAGAGGGATCTGGATTCCGCATTTGAAGTGGTGAGAGAGATGAAAAGGGCTAAAATTTCTTATCCTAACTTGATCACCTACTCAACTTTGATGGATGGTCTTTGTGAAAGTGGAAGACTTCAAGAAGCAATTGATCTGTTCGAGGACATGGTCTCAAAAGATAAAATATTGCCTGATACCTTAACTTACAATATTTTGATCAATGGGTTTTGCCGCGGAGGGAAACTTGATCGAGCTGGGAAGATAATGGAGTTTATGAAGAAGAATGGATGCAACCCCAATAAATTCAATTACTCAGCCTTAATGAATGGCTTCTGTAAGGAGGGAAGATTGGAGGAGGCAAAGGAGGTTTTTGATGAGATGCAGATTGCCGGTATTAAACCTGATACAGTTGGTTATACCACTTTAATCAATTGTTTGTGTAGAGCCAGTAGAGTTGATGAAGCGATGGAGTTGCTTAAAGAGATGAAAGAAAAAAAGTGCAAAGCTGATACTGTAACACTCAATGTTATACTCGGAGGCTTGTGCAGAGAAGGTAGATTTGATGAGGCACTTGAAATGCTTGAGAGGCTACCTCACGAGGGTGTTAGCCTGAACAAAGCAAGTTACAGGATTGTGTTGAATTTCTTGTGCAAGGAAGGTGAATTGGAGAAGGCGACAGAATTGTTGGGTCTGATGTTGAGTAGGGGGTTTCTGCCCCATTTTGCCACCTCAAATGAGTTATTGATTCGTCTTTGTGAGGCTGGAAAGGGAGCCAATGCAGCTATGATATTGTTTGGATTACTAGGGATGGGTTTCAAACCAGAACCTGATTCATGGAGTGTTTTAGTTGACTTGATATGCAGGGAAAGAAAGCTATTGCCTGCCTTTAAACTGCTTGATGAATTAGTTTGAGGGAGTGGTGATTTTTCCATAATTTTTCCTGCAGAAGCACAGCCTTGGAAATACAAGAAAAAAGCTCATAGAATATCCTCCATATATTTTGGGGTGTCGCAGTTTTCTTGCTATTTCTTCTATGCATTTTTGGGGCAATGTTGCGGTCTTTTCTTGCTTCAGCTTTTGGAGTAACTACAGTCTTCCCACTCGAGCAGTACGTGTGCAAAATTCTTTGATTGTGGGTGTGTTTGGTTTAAGTAGTAGGAAGGACCGACTGGACAAATCTGTCAATCCCATACTTATTCATTGGCCCTTGAACTAATTATAGCAATAATGTCTCATCATTCTATGTTTGGTTCAAGTATTAAGTAGTGAGCTCCACATTTAAAACATCTAAATTTTTTTTCGAGGGAGTATTGAATAATAATATAAACATTAAATTATTAAAAAATTCTCAAGATAAAGAGTGATATTTATATCTTAGATATTTTGAGGGTAAAAATATATTTTGCATAAATACTCTTCGACTAGATTATTTTTTTTTTTTTTTTTAACAGACCCAACTGGATTATTTAAACCCACCAAATAAGTGAGTTTATTTAAGAGGCTATGTGGGTTTAGAAGTACTATTCATCCGGACCAAAAGTATTTTTAGGAGATAATATCGAGCACAAAATATATATAGTGTGAGATAAGATGGACCTAGAAATATTTTTTTCAATCTCTCTTTTCTAATACCTAAAAGCAAACACACCTGCAAAGTTCACTAGGTTTGTTTTATGCTTTCACCATTTACATGCATGATTTCATTCCATAGTGACGCGGAAGTATTTTATGAGAATTGAATTTAGTTGTTCAGTCTGTCATGATATTTAAACGAAAAGGCCAACAACGCTATACGTCCATGATGATCCACGTACCGGGTCTTCACAGATACTCGAATTCCACCTTTTTTTAAGACTCAAATAGGTGAAAAGTGTAAAAACAGAGGCACCACGTGAGGCATGAATCATGGGAGTCGCTCTTCGTAATGGATGAGTTCGAGAGGCAATGACTGTTTTTGGATATGTTGTCACTGCCGTCACAAAAAGATCACAGCAGCTGGTAGCCAGCATCTAGTTCGCAGCTAATACATGAAAATGGGTTGCTTTGGTTAAACACCTCAAACAATCCACTACAAATACCATTTCTGCCAGCATCGCACTATGGTTCGATGAAAATGCACCAAGTACAACCGGCATTACACAACACAAATGTTGTGGATGGCCTGCCCCCTACTACCACCATGACAATGTGCACAACGTGCACAAAGATCGGGTTATGTCCGACATGTTTCTTTCAGTGGACAAGCTCTGATATTTGAACACACAAAAAATCTTTGAACACGAAAGGCCATTTTATTTTCAACGCAAAAGGCGATAAGATTATATAGACAATACCCTCTAGAGGAAGGAACAAACGATATTACAGATGATTGTAAATTACTAATTTCTGTTTATACATATTCTAAAGAGAAATTTGATACCTTAATACATTAAAGAGCTAGGTCTTGTCCAACTGTGTGCTCGCAGTACCATAAACATGTCCACCGCACCAGTAAGGATCGACAGATGTACTGAAAGGGACATTTGTGCGTATCTTGATTTTACAATATTGAGTGCTTCATACCAAGACCATTGCATGTTAAAATAAGGCCCTTGTAACGGTTAAGGTATTCCTGCAATCCCAGAATAGGGGGTTAGTGCAAATTACAAGAAATAAGAAATGCACAGAAACTGTAGTGTTTGAAGGCCAAGAAAAAGGACAAATACTCACGGTGATGTTGTAGTCATAGACATTTAGCATCCCATTCTTGTCATATTCTCGTCTTTTGACAGGATCACTTAGAACTGTTCCACAGAATCCAGAGTAAAACTAATATATTCTTAAATACAAAATCACTGTCCACATGATTTAAAAGATAAATATTTCCTAGTAAATAACAGTAACTGAGAATTTTATGCACAAACAGCAAACTGAATGCCTTCTACCAGACATGGGCCAAAAAATTGTGATGCATGGTCTATCAGCCTTGGCCAAGGACTTGTATACTGTGACACATTCAAAAAGTATGGGTGCATCCAACATGCTTAACTTTTAGACTCTTGATTGAACCTAGTGAATGAGGACTCAGCTGCTAGTTTATAAGTGCATAGAATCTACCAGAATATAGCTGTTTTGTAAGTTACAGAAGATGATGACAACCTCCCAGGCCTTAATTCAGCTCTGCAATCTTAAACACACCTATCCTCAGTTCACAACACAGGTTCTATAAAGGCAGCAACGCACCACCCAGGGTGAGGTAACAGGTGATCAGTGTTATTCTTCCAGATGATTTTCACTAGTTCTCCGATTTGGTGATAAGTGGGATGAGAGCATAGGACACAATTTTATTAGCAAGGAAAGTTATAATGAGGCCCTAGTTGGTGTGGCTTAGTGGGAGCGAAAAATGTATACTTTTTTGATAGGAAACGATAATATCATTTATCATTAAAGATAAAAAAATTTACAAAAGTAAGTAAGGTGGTGGACAAGTAATCCAAACCAAAGACAAATCAAAATAAAAATACATAAGAAAATAAAACTAAATTTCACATGAAGGTGTCAAACTTGAAGTAATGCAAAAAAGAGGAATATAATCAAACTCCTTTGACATGGAGGCCCAAAAAGAGGCCAAAATATGAAGCCGCTCCCAAAGACCTTCAATCTCCTCACATTTATCCTCAAAAATCTTCACATTTATTTCCAGCCAAATAACTTAAAAGTTAGCGCAAAAAAAAAAAAAAAAAGCAATGCCCAAAGAGTTCTCCACCTCCTATTACTTCCTCCTCCCCTTCCATAACATCCAAGCATATTATAGATAGCATAGTTTTTGGCACCACCCAACAAATACCCGCATTATTAAACAACATATTCTATAGTAAAAACGTTATGGGGCAATGTAAGAATAAATGATACACGTTTTTATCATCTCCTTTGCACATAACACACCATTACGGTTGAGGACAAACCGTCTCTTTCTTTGAAGCGCGTTAGAAGTATTAATCTTACTATGAACAATTATCCACACACAAATTTGCACCTATAAAGGCACTCTAACTTCCCAAATTACCCTCGATGGAGAAAATAAGGAAATAGAGGGATCATCAATTAAAGATTCAGAAGGATTTACATAAAAAAAACACAGGTAGAATCAATAGACCAATATCTTCTATCCAAACAATCTTGGGTTAATGAAGCAACATTAAACAAAGAAAGAAGCTCCACTAACTCTAAACATTCCCTATCATTAAGATTCCTACGAAAACTAAAATCCCATGACAAAGGATTTGAAGAGGATCAAATAAATGCATCAATTTTTTGATCATGAAACCTGAAATTTCGATAAAGACTTGAAAAGATAGACTCTCTAACATAGGTATCCTCCAAAAAACTAACCTTACCTCTATAACCCTCAAGGAGCTTAAGCCTCTTCGAAAAAAGAGGTAACCCCCGAGAAAAAAATTTCCATGGACTTCAAAAACTATCCCTTTCTACTTCATTAGATCCTATCCATTAGCATGTAACCCATATTTACTCTTAATAACAAAACACCACAATAAATCTTGTTCCAAGGAAGTCTCCAAAGCTATTTCCCAACCAAAACTATATCCCTTTTCAACAAATTCTCAATCGAAAGACCACCTCTAGCCTTGGATCTAAACACCACCTCCTAGTATATCGACTGATCCTTCCAACCCTCTCCACTCCTTTTACCATAAGAAATCCCTCGTTATCCCTTCAATTCTCTTGAGTACCAAAAAGAGGTATCTTAAAAGAGTATTGCTACATAGACTTAAAAAGTAGACTTGATAATCTCAACTATTGAATAAGTAGTGAGTCCCAATAAATGCTTGAATCCACAGTAAAATCAATGGTTGAAATTATCAAGTCTAATTTTTAAGTCTACTTTTTAAGTCCACGTAACATTACTCATCTTAAAAAGAGACATGAAATAAATAAGAATGCTAGCCAAAATAGACTCAACTATTGTAACCTATCTCCCCTAAAAATAAAAGCTTTACACCCATCTAACCGTTTTCCAACCTTCTCCATAATTTGATCACAACAAGACCTAGATATCGGATTATCCCCTAAATGGAACCCTAAATACTTTAGAGGCCACCCACACACAAAGCATCCCTAATCAAGAGTCAACCTATTATTCTTAGCCTTAATAGTGCTAATTCCGACAATAGTACTCTTTTCCATATTGACCCTACGGTCCAAAATTATCCCAAAAACATCAACAAAATTTGACTTTTACCTTATCCCCCAAAGAACAAAAAATAATATTCTAAACAAATTACAAGTGAGAAACAATAGCTCCATCGCTTCCAATCACAAAATCATCAACCAAATTACATCTATCTGCCCTCTCCATTAATCTACTCAACTCATCCACCACAAATGTAAAAAAAAAAGGGATAACGGATGGGATAAAAGATCACTATATCGTGGTTAAAATTCTTCAACTTCAAAGAGTTAATTTTTTTTGAAATAAAACCAATAAAAGTGGCATTTGTAACTACATTTATCACCCCATTATAATAGAATTCTACAAATACCCTCTTCAAATTATCCTTCATCTCTTCCCAACAAATCTGAAAAAGAGGCATAGTAAAACCATCCGGCACAGGAGCTTTGTCTTTACATTCAAAAACAGTTCTCCTAACTTCTTCAACCTCAAAAGGCCTTTCCAACGACGTAACCTCATTCCCACCAACAAGACACCACTCCAACCCCATCACAGTAGGTCTAGTATGGTCCTAGGTTGAATAAAAATTGGTGAAAAATGCACCATCTCCCTCTCAATTAATGTATCATCCTCCACTATCAAGCTGGAATTTAACAATGACTTTCCTCACCCTATTACCATTAGGCGCCCTATGAAAAAATTTTGAGTTATTGTTTCATCTTTCACCCATTTCACCCTTAAA